CAACAATCTGGGTTTCTAGGTGAACTTTTCTCTCTAGTTGGGACAAAATTTGTATCACACGTTGTCCAATCTTTTAACTGCTGTTCTCAGCACTTATTATTGGGTGTTTTTAAAAGCTTTTGCGCTGGAGAAGTGTGAAGCACAAGCTTGAAATATAAAGATCTAATTCTGGAGCGTCCGCAGCCGTTTGAATGAACTGTGTGTTTCAGGGTCCCATTATAATGGAGCTGCAGACCTACCGTTACCATGGACACAGCATGAGTGACCCAGGCGTCAGGTGAGTAACGTTTTTTTAACACCGCGACCTCCTGCCGCTCCGACACCTGCTTATGATGTTCTAACTTTTGCTGTAACTTCCTGTAGCTACCGCACTCGGGAGGAGATTCAGGAAGTGCGCAGCAAGAGTGACCCCATCTCCATGCTGAAGGAGCGCATGCTCAGCAACAACATGGCGTCGATAGAGGAGTTCAAGGTGAGCGCAGACGACCTGCAGTGAGTTTTATGACGTGGATTCGTTGGCATCATTTGACTGCAAAGAGTTTAATGTAGAGGATTTTTTTTTAACGTCACTTTGTACGATGTTAAAACCTGCTCAGCTATCTAGGTCGCCACTAAAACTGAGCCTGGAGTTTTAGCTGACGCTGGTGGAAACTGTAACGCTCGCCGGGTCTGAAAGCCCCATCAGAAGTTCCTCAGAAAATCTGAGTCGATAGAGGAAGTTGAGAAATAGTCGTCGTGTTCTTCAGTAAAGGTGGAGGAGGTAGAGGAGTCAAACCTGACCTAAATGGAAACGCTGCACCACAGAGGCACCTACACATTTATATATATACTCTTTATATCTGAGCTCATATCGTTTCTTTCAACCCTCCGTGTCTTAAAGGAGTTCAAGCGGCATTAAAGGTCCAGTGTGTAACATTTAGGAAGATCTATAGCTTTAATATATTCATTAATGTGATCTACTACGACTGCAGCTCCCTCTATTCTTCCAACCTTCATTTGGATAAAGGAGACCTCCGTTCTCAGCACTTGATGGGATTTTGAGCTTAAACAATATCACTTTGTTGTTGTGGAGCTTTTTAGAGATTAACGCGCTTCCTCTCCGTCCTGTCAGGAAATCGACGTGGCGATCCGTAAGGAGGTGGAGGACGCCGCCCAGTTCGCGACGTCCGATCCAGAGCCGCCGCTGGAGGAGCTGTGCAACCACATCTTCCACAACAACCCGCCGCTGGAGGTCCGTGGGACCAACCCCTGGGTCACGCTCAAGTCCGTTAGCTAGACTCGCACACTCTAAATACAGATACACACCGACCTTCATCAAAAGTAGAGTCCTTCATCCTCACTGACTCCCTCACTTTTGAAAGAAATAACCTAAAAGCAGCCATTTCCTTCGAGTTTTAGATCTCAGCATTCCAGCACCTTAATGGGACTCAACCTGCAACCTGTCAGTGTTATTTATTTTATAGTTTTATATAGAAGTTTTAAGATTTATTCTTTGTTCTGCTGCACATCTGACCCCTCTGTGGGTGTCGTTGTCATCCAGCCGCTGTGTGCTGCTGCCGTTTAATAATGAGATGTGAATCCTGTAGTTAACAGGTTTTAAAAATGTTGCAGGGTTGAACTGTATACGCACAAAACGTAGGGTTCCTCTCCCTCGTAGGACTCTTCTGTTACAACTTCCTCTGCTTTTTAGTTGCATTTTTTTTTTACAGTTTGAAACACTTTTGAAAGTCAGTCTCTCTTAAAGCAAAGATCTCTTTTAGTTTAAATTATTTTAGACAGCACAAACAGATTCAGTATGTTTGGTGTCAGAAAGCTGGGATTATGTGATTTTTGAAGCAGTGCTGGAAAATACATTTACTCAAGTACAATTGAGTAATTCTACTTTATAGTTTCGGAGGGAAATATTATTCTTTTTACTCCACATTTATTTGATTAAATTATTTATTTATTACAGAATGAGACTATTAATACAAAATATTCACAATAAACATCATGAATTAAACATCAGTTACCATCTGGAACATTAAAGTGATTATAATCCAGTAATACTTATGGTTAAAGTCCATATTGATGCTTATCGCCTACTACAAGGAGTTTTTACCTGCTTATGAAACAGTTTAATACCGACGCCTCTGTAGGACCTACATAAACAAACAGCAGAGAGCAGATTAGCTGTTTCTATGTAGTTATTCTTCATGTGAGTGTGTGTTCTTAACCGGGTCGGATTCCCCTTGAAATCAATGAAACGAGGCGGCAGACACTACCACCTTTTGTCCACAGGGGGTGCCAGAATCAACGCAAAATAAAAGCTCCTTTTTATTGGTGTTTTTAAGTAGAAGCTAAAGAGTACTACTTCTACCCCTGGTTACATGTATGTTTGAGGTGTAGGAATTTACCTTTATGAGGATTATATGAAATATTTATACAGTGAATTAAAGCTCTAAAGTAAATATTTAACATCCAGTTTTATCCAGAGTGACTTCCAGGAACGTTTCTCACCTGCTGCTTCACCTTTCCATCGCCTACACTGGAGCACTTTACCTGTCCAGATAATCTCTGCCTACCTGACTGTGCACACTAGAACAACTCTCCTCTGCTGTTGGATGGATACACTACAATATGTTATTAACAGAACACTTAATTATGTAAAGATGCATTTAAAATCTGGAGCTACAACAGCACTGACTTGATTTTTCCTCCTTTCCGTACCTTTCTACGTTTACTGTCACTGAGCCTGAAGTTGTACAGATATATAAAGCTTTATTTCTGTGTGTGTGTGTTGAACTGAAAGACTGTTGGGCTGTAAAATAAATGCATACAGAAAGCAGGAAGATAAAGACTGTGTGTTTGTGTGTTTTGCCATTTTAATCGTCATGTTTTATGATTTTTAAGATCAAATCAACCACTAAAAATATCAGATAATTAACCTGAAAACGGTTGTTTCTTCCTGTGTGGAGGAAGTAGATTCATTAAATAAATTATTTTATCTTCATGCTAATGTTTAGTTACATGTACAGTCGTCAAACTGAAGATTTCCTACTTTTTCTTTTGAATTATTTTAATTTATATGTAATAATTGTAAGGTTTGGACAGAAACGGGCTTTATGAAGGCCGCCACTTTGGATTCTGGGTAATTCTGACGACATTTCTGACTTATTTTAAGAGTTTTTACAAACTGCACAATCAGTGGATTCATGGAGAAAATAATTAGTTGCAGTCTTAAAATGAGCTCCACCTCAACAAACTACAGCAGAGAAATCCTGCTTTTACACAAATGAGTGAGAATAATCTAATAAAATATATATAATACTACAACAGACATTATCCTCATTATACTGACATACTTTTAATTAACATTCTCAATGAAGTTGTATTTTAAGTGTCACATTACACCGCTGACCACTAGATGTCACTGCCAGGTTGTAAAATCAACTTATTGTTATTTATTGACAGTCATGGCAACCAAACATTAGTGTGTTGAGTTGTCACTGTAATAATTTAAACTTATAGTTCATGAAAATCCTCCCAAAAACCTGTAAGAACACACAGTGAATTACGGTTTGTAATCATTAATTTGTATGGCACTCAAAACAAAGCTGAGCCTCACTCACACCAGAGCAGTAAAATAACAGATAACTTGTGCAAACAAAATAAAAGTGGGTTTTATCAAGGGTGGAAGAAACACTGAGGCACTTATGTTAAAGTCAGTCCAGCAGTTAGAACTTTAAACTGTGTTTTTATATGTAAAATCTTAATCTATGTCGTGGAAGTGGAAGTAGAAAGTACTTTAAATAATTATTATATCAATACTTAAAGATAGTTTTTAGTAGAGATCAAAAAAATACAACTATAGTCTAAAGTTATTACAAAAACATTAAAATTATTAAAATATTTCAAAATAAAAGCAAATCTTCAAATCTTTTTTAACAAGAAAAATGAGTTAAAATATTATCAAAATAGTTTCAAATTAAGTTTTAATCGACCAATTGAGACAGTGACTTAAAGTTTCTGATGTAATGTAGTTTAATTTATAACAAATGATCATAATTTACAAGTTCTTCATATGTTTTGTGTGGAAATGTAAAGTAAAGCTGTCAGATAACAGTAAAGAGTACAAATGTACTTAGTTACTTCCCCCCACTGCTGTGTTGAGGCGGTAAAAGTACACACATTATGTACTCAGAGTATAAAACTTAAAGATTATTCTTCTCTTGTGTCTTCTTTACGTCGGTTTCGTCACGTTACGTCAGTCAGTCTGACGTCGGGAAGGCGCGCAATGACGCAAACGTTACGTGTTCAGGATGTTTTAAAAAAAAAGTAGGCTAATTGTAATCCATTACAGTTACAGGAAAAACAAACACAATCAGATTATAATTTAGATAACAATGAGGATTAGTTAACAGATTACAAGTTAAAAATACATCAGTGTCTTTTAATATACTAATAACTGTTCTGTTTTATAGATTACACTCAGATCGATACTCATTATTGATATTTATTGACTTTATTCGCGTATTTAGTGTTGAGGTAATCCAAAAGTGACATTTTTAAACTGATAATTTCCCTTTAAATGCATTAAAACTAAAGTAAAACGGCTGTTTATGAAAGTATAAAGTAAAGATATGTGTGTAAAAATGTAGAAAGTTAAAAATAATTAAACATTAAAGTTTATATTATTATATTATATTATAGGACATCGAGTAACAGAACTTATTTTTAATTAATTAAATACTTTTCTTTCTTATTTTTAATGCTTATTTACTTTTTTATTTATTTATCATCGCGTGTGCCCCATAAATAAAAACAGAATAAAGACTTTAATATAAATTTACTTTCTTTATTACCTAAGGACGCCGCCTCCTGTCGTGACGCGGCGGTGACGCGGCGGTCTGACGGACAGGTAAGCCGACACCGGCCGCCATATTGGGAAACAACGGAAGTGAGAGAGAGAGAGAGAGAGAGAGATTGAGAGATAACTGTGTATGTGTGTTGAGTCAATCAATTTCCGAAAAAGGGCGTCCTCCTCCTCTCCTCCTCCTCCTCTCCTCCTCCTCGCTGCTCTCTCTCATGTTTGTCTCTCCGGAGGAAGGGGCGGTCTCAGCGCCGCAGCAGATCCGGAATTAGAAGGTGTTCGCTCGGCTGTGCTCGGCTCGGTCGGTCGGTGAGCTCCGCGGCGGTTCGGTTCTCTGAGAGGAAGACAGAACAACGGAACTAGCTGTTGAACATTTTTTATTTTTATTTTTAAATAAGCAACTTAAAGAAAAGATTAAAAAAAAAAAAAAAAAAAAAAAAAGAGGTGAGGGGTGAGAGAAGAGGGAGAAAGAAGAGGGTTGGACTCAAAGTGTCGACCGAGGGAGGGACGACACACAACCGGGGGCAGAAAAGAGGAATTAAAAGAAGAAAGTAGAAGAAAGGACAAGATGCCTCTGGCTCAGCTGGCGGATCCCTGGCAGAAGATGCCTCTGGGGGGGACGCCTGGAGAGGTGAGACACTTTATCCTCCTGTCTGACTGACAGTTGAGTGACTTTCAGCAGCGTAAGACAGGTATCAGAAATAAAAAGACACCTGAGAGTCACTGTTTAGGGATTATTGACACCTGCAGCTGCCATTAAAACTCCAAAGTTAGATTCAAATGCGCCTTTAAAGTGTCATAAGATCACAGTGAGCACTCAGACAGGCGGTGATACTGTCTGTGTAAGTGTCAGAGTAGTGTTACAGGAGGCACAAACTACCGTATTGTCTCTATAAACGACTAAAGTATGTTTAGTAGTGTCATTGGGACGTTACACTGATACAGTTTGAGGTGGAAAAGCACAACAATGTGACATTAAAATCAAATTCTGGTGCTTAAATTGATTTAATTTCACTCTCAAGTCCAGAAGTGACTTACTGGCACACTACAGTAACCTTTAAAGTACTGTTGCAGGACACATATATATATAAAAGTATAGGTATAAAATGAAAATAAAGCTCATTAATGGGTACAGATGATGCATGAAATGATGAGCTGAAGCAGCTGAAGTTGGCTGCAGCTCCTATAGGGACCATAAACACAAACACACTGTAATACTGTGTATTAGTAGAGATATTATACATATTATAGCATATTACTGATTACTCTGCAGGTTGTTTTCTTTTTAATCTATTATTTATCTTCAACAATCACAGTTTCCTAAAGACAAAGTTGACGTCTTAGAGCCCAAATATATTTAATTTACTGTCTTATGAGACAAAAACAGTCAAATCTTCACTGAAACGACTGCGAACATTCAGCGGTTTACAGAATATCTGGGGATTTGTTTTATGTTGATTGTATCGTTTCAGCTCTACAATAATGTGACAATAAGGACCTTTTTATTTTGGACATTTATAAACGCTAATGGGACGTAAAATCTGAAGTTTGAGTCTGAAGTTGCTCGCCGACGGGATGCCGGAGGGATCTTTGTGCAAAATAAAGCAACCGAGTGTGTTTTTATGTGTGGGATTGTTCTAAAGAAGGCCTTTGTCTTCGAAAACCGAACTTCAGGATTGAAACAAAAACAGCTCCTGTTGTCAGACAGTGTGTGTGTGTGTGTGTGTGTGTGTGTGTGTGTGTGTGTGTGTGTGTGTGTTTTTCCATTTCTTCCTTCCTACAAATCTTTGAATCTTGATAAAGAGCAGGAGGCGGTGCCACTGTGGCCGCATGATTCAGGAAGAGCTTACGTCTGTGTGTGTGTCTGTGTGTCTGTGTGTGTGTGTGTGTGTGTGTCCACTTCCTGTATGAGGTGTCACAAGGGCTGCATGGAGAAATATGTGTGTGTGTGTGTGTGTGTGTGTGTGTGTGTGTGTGTCACTGTAGGCAGATCGTGAACAATCAAACCTGAGTCACAGCTTCTCCTTTTCTCTCTCTCGCCTCCTAACAAGCTCGTACCTGCTCGCAGCTTTTCCCACGCGGCCTTCTTTCCACCTCGCCCGTCAGCCAGGAACGTGGAACGTGCTGATGAGAGTGACCTTTGACCTCAGCGTTACACCTCTAAGCCTTTTAGGCGTGCGGCGATGTGTCTGATAGCTGAGGCGTCGTTGTAAGTTGTTGTACCGGCTCTTTTTCTAGGCCACCGCCGCTTTGTGGAACCACTCACACGCACACAAAAGAGTGAATGGTGAAGTTGTGGAATGAAGAGAAGCTGCTGTAGGAGGTTGTTTCTTTTTACCCTGAAGACAAGATCGTTTCAACACACACACACACACACACACACACACACACACACACACACACACACACACACACACACAAAGAGTAGAAAGGGTGCACCCGTCCAGTGAAACGTGGAAACAAAGATGAGTGTATAGAGCGAGATGGCTGCAGCAGTGAGTCTGCACTCTGCACGCTTTAAAGGTCGCACACATTATCATCTAAGGCTTGTTATCGTCATTGTTTTAGTAGCTTTGTGTCAGGATATAATTGGTGCTTTATAATATCACAGAGCACAAGGTGACGCTTTTATATTCACTCGTTTTATCCAACCAACAGTAAGATATTGAGTTTGATATCATATGTGAGTCTGAGGAGGTGTAACCAGAAAATGAAGGATTGCGTTCGTCGTACATTTTATGGATTAATCGATCAATAAAATGTTAGGAAATGGTGAAAAATGTTTCTCAGAGGTCAAAGTGACGTCCTCAAATGTTTTGTTTTGTCCCAAACTCAAATATTTTCAGTTTACTGTCCAACAGAACTGAAATCAGAGAATGTTTTACCCTTTTTATTAAAGAAATGTGTCAAAAAGTTGAGAATTAAGCGATTAATAAACTAATTGTTGCAGCTGTAGCTTTTTGTACTTACAACTTAGCTTAAACTGTTTAAAAACAGTTGCTTAATTGATTACAGAATTTAGTTTAATCATTTCTAATATCGCATCAAAGTTCCAGTTCCTCCAAATTACAAAAACAAAAACACTGGCTTTATTGTTAAAGTGTGAGGCTTCTGCCAGATTTCTTGATTAATTGATTAAACAGTTAGTCAGTCGATCAATAATTTCTGGTAATAAAGTAATTCTTCAAGCACAATTGACAACAAATGTTTTAATTCCAGCATCTCAGAAGTGAAGATTTCCTGCTTCTCTTTGTCCAAGTAACCTGATGATCTTTGGACAAAACAAGCAATTTGGAGAACGTGTGAACTTTTGAACTCTGACCAAAAAACGATTGATTGATTAATCAACAAAGGATCCAGCAAATTAAAGGATAATGAACATAATTGGAAATTGCAGCTCTAGTTCAGAAAAACAAAAGCAAAGCCTCTTTCCAGTTTACTCTGGATAATCCGCAGACTCTGTGTGTTCAGTTTAATCTCCCAATTTAATCACAGTCTGGAGTTTGATTCAATTTGATTTGATTCTTTAAGATTAAGTAACATCAGATTAATACTAGTATTATCCAATCAACTTACATTTCTTTATATTCCACAACTAAGCATTTGTTATGTATTCAAGGTTCAAGGTAGAATTGACTGAAAGGAAGATATTTTGTCACATTTTGACACAATAAAGACACAAAACACGAGGCTTTGACTCAATATAGCTTTTTAATATACACTCAATGTCTATGTCAGCCAAAGGTTTTGAAGCCTTGAGTTTGTCAATCACAAGGTAGCCCCGCCCTAAAGCATACCCTTCTTTAAGGTCTATTTTACTCTAAATGGGACCATCAGTTACTAAATGAACATCATGCTGTATGGAAGAAGACTGAAACTAGAGACGGAGACCAGAGACTCATCAGGAAACTGTTTACTGCGCTCATAAATCAACTGAGAAGTCGGCTCATTTCTCCATAAGACTGAATGGTATCAGAGCTGACCCCTGCTGGCCATTAAGAATAAAAGGAAGCTCTGTTAATGCATTTCACACATACCTGTAGCATCCATTAAAGTAACAACAGTGGACATATATTATTCAGCAGAAACATTATAGTTATAAATAGCTTCTAATATTTAGGCGGTGGCAGAAATGTCAGGTAGGCCCGCACGTACCAGAGAGCATGACTCACTGACAGATCTAGATAACAGCAAACCTATGTTCCTTTTCTCTCGAACTGCCACTTCTTCTATTGTTTGTCACTCAGTGTAATCGTGCACCGCCATCATCTACCGGACTAACAGGGCTGGGAACAACTGTTGCTCTACTAAACCTCATTTTGTGGTTTTAGTCTGAAATTTGTAAGATATTGATGTAATTCAGGAACTAAATAACACCACAGTTTATTCTTTAGTGCACCACTGGAAAGGTTTGCTTAATATTTGTTTGACAGTTGTCTGGAGAGTTGAGCTTATAGTTTTTAAGTGCTGATGCAAATACGGTAGAAGGACTGTAAACATTTATGTGTGGAGAATCAAATCGGTGAGATGAGAAATGAATCATGGTGTCGATGTGCAAAGACTTCGGTTTCTCTTTAGAAAAAGAAAATTTGTTTTTGTCTGAGAAAAAAAAGACATTTAAGTTGCCTCATATTAGCTTTTTTATACACAGAAGAGGACAGTGGATCTCTTGCGTTGAGGTTTGGCGCCGCCTTTACGACCGGTATGAACAGGAGGAACATATCCAGTGTATAATAACTCTGTCAGAGCACATACCTGAGTGTTGTTTTAAATATAGACTTCAAGAAAACCTCAACAAAAAGCCACAGACGAGCTCTTCCTCTGCAGTAAAACCCGAACAGCAGCAGCACCACTTCTCCTGACCCGGGCTGCACCGGATTGTTTGCATATCGATATCCGATTACAGCGATAACGCTTATTAATACCTGCTGTGAAAGAGCCGATGTCAATATCTAGATAAAGATTGCGTGTTAATACCAGGCGTAAAGTGTGGTTTGAGAGTCTGACGAGGCATTTAGACACCAGCTCCTGCAGTCACAAGTACATCAGAGCAAAACTGCAAAGCACTGTGGGAGAGCTGAGGGTGGTGGTGGTGGTGGTGGTGGTGGTGGTGGGGGGGGCACGGAGGCAGAGATACTGCATGCAGGTATTCTTCCAACAACTGGAAGTTAGTTGTTGTAGTTTGTAGTTTTTTTGGATAGAAAAACGTCGATGAGTTCGTATTTTTTGCTGTATATTTTTTTATTTTGTGTGTCATTAATCTCACGTGAGCTCTGAAGGGGTCGACGAGGCCGAGATTTAATGCAAAGCAAGCGTTTCACCAGCGTTTATTCACAAACTGCTTCAGTCTGCTCACCTTGCTTTCTGTTTCCCACACACACACACACACACACACACACACACACACACACACACACACACACACACACACACACACACACACACTCTTTCTGTTCCTCTTTCTGTGTCTGTCCAGCTGTTTGTTTTGTAACGCTTTGAAACCAACGAATGCTTTACCTGATCCGTGCTTGTAAAAGTCAGAGTACCAGATTATTCTATTCTCTCTCTGTCTCTCTGTCTCTCTGTCTCTCTGTTTCTCTGTCTCTCTCTCTCTCTCTCTCTGTCTCTCTCTGTCTCTCTCTCTCTCTCTCTGTCTCTCTGTTTCTCTGTCTCTCTATCTGTCTGTTTCTCTGTCTCTCTCTCTCTCTGTCTCTCTGTTTCTCTGTCTCTCTGTCTCTCTATGTCTTTGTTTCTCTGTCTCTCTGTCTCTCTGTTTCTCTGTCTCTCTGTCTGTTTCTCTGTCTGTCTCTCTGTTTCTCTGTCTCTCTGTCTCTCTATCTGTCTGTTTCTCTGTCTCTCTGTTTCTCTGTCTCTCTGTCTCTCTGTTTCTCTGTCTCTCTGTCTCTCTCTCTCTCTGTCTCTCTGTTTCTCTGTTTCTCTGTCTCTCTATCTGTCTGTTTCTCTGTCTCTCTCTCTCTCTCTGTCTCTCTGTCTCTCTGTCTCTCTATGTCTTTGTTTCTCTGTCTCTCTGTTTCTCTGTCTCTCTATCTGTCTGTTTCTCTGTCTCTCTGTTTCTCTGTCTCTATCTCTGTTTCTTTATCTCTCTGTTTCTCTGTCTCTCTGTCTCTTTGTCTCTCTATCTCTCTGTTTCTCTGTCTATCTGTCTCTCTGTCTCTTTGTCTCTCTATCTCTCTGTTTCTCTCTCTCTCTGTCTCTCTGTTTCTCTGTTTCTCTGTCTCTCTATCTGTCTGTTTCTCTGTCTCTCTGTTTCTCTGTCTCTATCTCTGTTTCTTTATCTCTCTGTTTCTCTGTCTCTCTGTCTCTTTGTCTCTCTATCTCTCTGTTTCTCTGTCTATCTGTCTCTCTGTCTCTTTGTCTCTCTATCTCTCTGTTTCTCTGTCTATCTGTCTCTCTGTTTCTTTGCACTTAAACACGTCACTGGAAGTTAAATACCCGGGTGTCCGCCCAACTTAAGTAATAATGAAGTACTGTAGTTCTGCAGAGAAGCCCTCGTCTACAAACCTCAAAATAATCCCAATATGACTTGTAATTTTTACCATATCGTGCAGCCCTAGATTATTTTTATATTCTGGAATATATATATTATCAAGATATTAAATGACCTGTATCAGGATATGAGATTCTGTATATATCGCACAGCCTTTTTCACACAGTCAGCAGTTGGAACAACAACAGTGGCTGCGACACACAAGTTCATGGAGCCAATGAAGGCACTCGGCCCTCGGCACCCTGTTCTCACAGTTTGAGTCAAAAGTCATACTCCTTCTGCTCGCCTCAGTCGTCTGACAGAAACAGACGGCACGGTTTTATCCATGGATCAGACTCTGCAGTCCTTCATTTAGAGACAAAACAGAGCTTTTCTCTTTCTGCTCTGCCTCTCCATCCACAGCCCTGTCCTCTCCGTCACCTTCCATCTTCCCTCCCTCTTTCTCATCTTAATCCATCCCTCATCCTCTCTCTCTCCTCTCTCTCCTCTCTTCACCCCGCTGTGCAGATTTCAGGCTTATCCCCCCGGTGCTGCACTTACCGGCAAAGTAAATACTCACAATAATCGCTTTTATTGTTATTATTGTTTTTGTCAGGCGGTAGTATCGGTGCTATCGGTGTCTGAATCACAGCTGTTGTTCCAGCAGGGAAGCAGACAGGCTGCTAATCTGCCTTACGTAATGCTAATTCATATCTGTTGTTTTTGTTGTTCCTGTTTGGGCGAGCAGACGAGGTGAAATCGGTCGGAGTTTGGTGGCCCTGCTGATGAATCTCACACTGGGACCGTCTGGGGACCTTTTCTTTTTTTGTATTTTAATCTGAACTCTGGTTTTTATTCCTCCGTCAAAGGGGGAGCAGGAGGGAGATGATGAGAAGGTTTTCAAAATAAAAGACGCCTACTCTTCACCTCTGAGTGTTTGGTGGCACAAAATGAAAATAATTGCAGGCAGCAGAAGTCCTTGATGTGACGAAAGAACGAGTCTTTACAGCCCGGCTCTCCACTGTATGCATACAGTATACATGCACTGTTAAATGAGATCGCAAACTACACTACCTTGTTTAAGGTTCCACGGTTTTCTTTATAACGTCTCGGTAACTTTAAATAAAAGAGACATTGCCAGTTTTCCTAGTAAAACCTTTGGATTATCACTCAGATGTACCACAGGTGCTCAGTTGGGTTTACATCTGGTGACAGCTCAGCGTGTTGACACATGTCAAACAGCAGGAGAGGAGGTTAACTTCTGTGTCCTACAGTGGGAGCAATCTGCATTCATTAGTTTTTTTAATAGTTTTTCCTTTAATTCATCTCCAGTTTATTTTCCTTGTTCTGATGTAGGAGCTCTTTTGGGAATATAAAATGAAATACAAATAAACATTAGTTCAAAGGACATTTTAGACATTTAGGGACATTTGTTTTGCAGGAAATACTCATACTCTCCTGTCTGTATGAAAAATATGAAACTTGATAATGATAATGTACTTATTTACAAGTACGAGTATCATCGGAGTCATAAATGTATGTGGAATATAATGTTCACAGGTATGTTTTCATTAGTGTGTAATCACCTGCTGTCACTTTAGTTGTTGTCCTCGGGTCCAGTGGAGAGTGTGAGTAACCCAGGGGGGTTTAAACTGTTTCCTCTCTAACATTGTCACATTTAACAATAGTTAATATTTTAGTTTGATATATCTCAGCCCCTGGCAGCATCATTTTAAATCCCATTTCCATCAAAACTGGGCTGCACAAACACAACACAGCTGTGTACACCAGACAGACCACAGTGGCTGAGGAACAAACACAGCTGACTCCGGTTTTCAAACTGAACTCCTGTAGTCCGCCACGTTGAACCGCCTTGTTTCTACGGTAGCCCAGATCTGATAAACCAAACACTGGCTCTACATAGGATTGATTACTGGATTCAGGTGGTTGTAATAGTGGCATCTGCACCATGAGACAAAAGTCAATGTGCTGTATTACCATTGATAAAACAAGTTATCCTGTTTGTTAATGTAGATTTAAGCAGGGCCTTCTTAACCACACAATTAAATAGTAAGTAATAGCAGTGCCATCTATATGTATGTATGTTTTCCAACTAAAATAAAGCTCCTCAAAGCTTCCCTGTGTGAAACCAGCCCGTACAGTGGGTATGTGCAGCGATGTGGAGGTGTTTTCCAGTTGTTGTTCAGGTGAAACATGTTTGAACCTGACGCGGTGACGCTGCAGCCGCCTCGCAGGATCACGCAGGGAGCACGAGGCTCATTACCACGTCACCGCTGTGCATCAGGTGTGTGTTAATGCGTGACGTCTCTGTGTGTGTGTGTGATTACAGGATTCACATCACGATCCCGAGGACTCAGTGGGCGAGGACGACCCGATGCCTGCCTGCAACGTAAGTCCGCCTCCCGCTCTTGGGTTTTTTTTCTTTATGTTCACATCACACGGAGAGAGGAAAGGCTCCAGATTGTGTTTGGAGGTTTTCTGTTAGTCTTTTCCTGACATTTAGAGGGCTTCAGTTGTAAACACGGCGAGCTCTCTGTTTGTACTGACAACAGCGCAACACTTTGAACTCAGCGACGGCAGCTGTCTGTGTGTGTGTGTGTGTGTGTGTGTGTGTGTGTGTGTCTGTGTGTGTGTCAGCTACAATCATGCACTCATGAGTTTGACTGGCTGCTATTGACGAGTACACAGCCCTTCCGGTCATTTGTACATTCACACGTTGGCAACCTCGTGCTTGTGTGTGCGTGCGTGTGTGTGTGTGTGTGTGTGTGTGTGTGTGTGTGTGTGTGTGTCTGTTTCAGCCGCATTCACACAACGCTCTGTCTTTCTTTTTGATGATATATCCACTGTTTGGGAAAACTGACGCCTACTCCTGCAGGATAATTGCTGGTATGAAAGTGAAGCGCTCACTATTAAAGTCATGAGTCATCTTAAAGCAGAAATAAATAAAATAAAAAAACCTCCCTCAGATTCCGTTCTATGCTCGATATCATCATTTATTTGTGCTGTTCGGCACATTCCACGAGTTATTTTTGGATTGGATGTTGTTATTTACTCTTTAGGTAAACCCTCGTTTCCCTCCGCCTGCATCACGCACTTCTTCTTCTTCTTCTTTAGTCACTTCCTGTGTCCCAGTTTGAAACTATACACAGACTGTGACGTTGTTTGTAGTTTCACAGTGGAATGATCTGGATGGACAACACAGCAACGCAGCTCACTGATGTGGTTCCCAACCTGCTGCCTTAAGGGATATTTAATACTATATTCAAAACTGTACAGTGAACTCAGTAACTGCAGGAAGTTTGTGTAAAACGAGTGATTTTAAACAGATTATTTCCTGTTTAAGGAACTTTTTACACAATTCTCTGTCTGTATTATGTATTTTTTAACAATCAAACAGACTTAACAGGCTTCTGTTTTTACATATTCAGTGTTTTTACTGAAACTAGGCCGTAGTGTTATTAGACAATTTTACTTTTCTTCACAGAAGTGAACCAAATTCTGAGATTTAGGTGAACTGTATATGTATTTTTAAAGTTTTCTCACACCTCTTAAAACCAAGAAGGCCTCGCAACCGCCCCAGTGAAGCCTTGGCGACCCCTAGTCGGGTCCCGATCCCCAGGTTAGCAACCACCGCTTTAAA